CATACAGACCCAAGAGTAGAGGAAAACTATTGGACATTCTGCTCATGTTTAATATAAACATCCATCATAGTGACAGTATACAGTATCTAGGCAAGTAAAGAAAAACATGTTAGGTGAACCAAGTGCCCCTCTGACCATTTTTAGGAAGCAGTTACCTTAAAACAGAAGACTGACCCTTCAGTGTCTTATTTATTAAACACAGAGCTTCTCACTAAATAATACTTGAATGTTTTTGTTATTATGCACCCGTGACATTATCTTCTTAATTCTCTGAGGTCTAAGTCATTACCAGTGATAATCCAGCCCTGACCCTGACTGTGGGCAATTAGCACAAAAGCATTTTTGTTTTTTATTTCACTGTTCTTACAGGTTTGGGCAATAAAGGACCAAAGAAAAGAATCACCTGCCTTACTTGCATTAAAATCTACTTCTTTTTTTCCATATGATCCATTTTGGCTCTTAAATTTAAGGTAGAGTTACCACCCAAGGTAAATAACAAAGGATTTTTACATATGTGTTAAATGTTGTAAATGCCCCATCTTTTTATTTGTCTCTATCATGGCTGGCACCGCATATGAAACACTGGATTGCATTGTGTCTGTGAAGGTTCTCAGTCATCCAGGTCATCGTAGTCAAAGGAACTTGCAAAGAAAAGCGTCTGGACTTCTTTAAGTTGCTTGAAGACGTTTCACCTCTCATCTGAGAAGCTTCTTCAGTTCTAAGGTCAAATGGTGGGGAGTCCCAGATATAACCTAGTGGGAGTGACCCCCCACAGAGGGACAAAAGGACCCCCTGATGATCCTCTAATCGCCTGAGCCAAGGTGTGAAACTGGGTGTGGGTCCCAATCAGCCAGAGTTTCGGGTGAGCTCATTGTGAAACCTGGCCCCACCTTATCATGCGAATTCCTGAGGTCAGATGGCCCAGGATGTGAGTGGGCGTTAAGGCGTCTGGGAAGGGATCTCAAAACTGGATTATAGATGGCAGAGAGTTGGTGTCGTAAACCCCCGCCTCTGTTCAAAGATGGTCGCTCACAGTGGACATAGATGGCTTCTTTCACTCCTCTTTCAAACCATCTGTCCTCTCTGTCCAAAATGTGAACATTGGCATCCTCGAAAGAATGTCCTTTGTTCTTAAGATGCAGATGGACTGCTGAGTCTTGTCAGACAAAAACTGGTTCACCCGAAAGACAAAACGCCAAAACACAGACTTAACAATGTGGTGTATGCTGTACAGTGCAGCGAGGAATGCCCAGACCTCTACATTGGAGAGACCAAACAGCCACTTCACAAGCGCATGGCACAACACAGAAGAGCCACCTCCACAGGACAAGACTCAGCAGTCCATCTGCATCTTAAGGTCAAAGGTCACTCTTTCGAGGATGCCAATGTTCACATTTTGGACAGAGAGGACAGATGGTTTGAAAGAGGAGTGAAAGAAGCCATCTATGTCCACTGTGAGCGACCATCCTTGAACAGAGGCGGGGGTTTACGACACCAACTCTGCCATCTATAATCCAGTTTTGAGATCCCTTCCCAGACGCCTTAACGCCCACTCACATCCTGGGCCATCTGACCTCAGGAATTCGCATGATAAGGTAGGGCCAGGTTTCACAATGAACACACCCGAAACTCTGGCTGATTGGGACCCACGCCCAGTTTCACACCTTGGCTCAGGCGATTAGAGGATCATCAGGGGGTCCTTTTGTCCCTCTGTGGGGGGTCACTCCCACTAGGTTTACATCTGGGACTCTCCACCATTTGACCTTAGAACTGAAGAAGCTTCTCGGATGAGAGGTGAAACGTCTTCAAGCAACTTAAAGAAGTCCAGACGCTTTCCTTTGCAAGTTCCTTTGACTGGATTGCATTGGCCACCTACGGGTTACACTGTAGGCTCTGCAAAGATTCACTAAAGAAGTCTAAATCAGACATTACACCTGAAAGGGTTAATAAATTGCATTAATAGTTTAGTAGGAATCGTGATATTGTGCCTCACTGAGGATCTTTTTTTTTTTGTTTTGTGCATTGTCATTACAAAGAACTAGGCTTCACTTCTTTCTGTAAGAAACATCTATGTCTTCCACACTTTTCAACCAAGAATCAATTTTACCTGATGTTTGCCTGAGTAAATGCGACTGGGCTTGTTGCCTCTGCCTTCTGTGAGGATTTATGGCAGTTGGCAGTTTGCAGCAGCTGACTGAAACTACACTGGAAATGAGAATATTGAATATAAAACTTGATTTATCTTTTATTTAGCTCACTTTTTTATTTATCTTCCAGGATTCGTGTTTGACTGATATTTTTGTTAACGTTAAACTTACCCCATGCGGGACTTCACAGAACCCCTGGCAGTACCACCATTTGACAAGCACTGCATTAGACAGTATTACAGTATCTTTCACGGTGTGTACTTATCAGTGTTTCTTGTGTTTCCTGCCACGCTCCCTGCTGAAGGGAGTGAGCGAGGTCTCCTAGAGCGAGAGGACAGCTCCCAGCAGGGAGGCGCTCTGCAGGGCTCTGTTACATGCCATAAAGTGTGTGTGTCAGCATGCTCGCAGGCCTTGAAGACTGATACACAACTGATGCATGTGCTTTTTGCACACATAAAATGTGTCTAAATGGTGGGCTAGGCTGTTAGGGAGACTGAAGAACACACACTGCAATTCTGAACAATCCTAAATAAAATGATAGTTGACAGAGACCCCCCTGCTGTCCACATCAACCCAGAGGCATTTTGCTTATCGGCAATATCTTGACAATATAAGAATACAAAACGGCTTTTTAACCTGAATCCACTCACGTAGATAACCCCATGACTAGACTTTGTTTTAACTTTTAGGTTAACTGAGGTAACATCCATCAAGGCCACATGGGTCCACATGGACAGCCTTACCCTGAAACTTCAACTGGAATACTAAACAACCTTTACAACAAGCATTAACATGCGCCACAGTCAGCTGCGGTTTATCAGAGTAGAGCAGAAGTGAAAATGAGCTGCTGAAGATGAACTGTGGCTCCAAACCACTAAACCTCATTAGAAGGGGAGTCACATTTGGCCAAGCTGATAAAAAGGTGTAAACCTGTCACCAGGTCTCATAATAACGCTGTCAAATACAGCAATAAAAACGTGTTACTATAGCTGCATGGCAGTAAAACCGATTAGCAGTGAAGGTTTCTGTTTGGGCTGTTTTGTGCACTCACTAACCACCTAGGTACATCTGTTCAACTGCTCGTTAACACTAACATGTAATCAGCCATTCACACGGCAGCGCCGCAGTGCATTTACACATCTAAACATGGTAAAGAACCGCTGAAATTGACACCGCGCATAAAAATAGGAAAGAAAGGTCATTTAAGTGGCTTTAAACATGCCATGACTGTTGGAGCTGGTCTGAGTATTTCAGACGAGCAACAACTGCATATCAGTAACTGCTGATACGCTGGGATTTTTCCATACAGTCATCTTTAGGATTTACAAATCCTAAAAAAAAGATATCCAGCAAACAGGAGTTCTGTGGGGTAAAAAGCTAGGGGAGACTACTTCGAGCTGATAAGAAATTACCTTTTACCAAGGTATGCAGATGACCATCTCTCAACACAAAGATGTGGTCTTCTGCTGCTGTAGCCCATCGGCAGCAGAAGACCACACTGGGAGGCTACAGTTGACAAAGGCTCGTTAAAATTAGACAATAGAAGAAAATATTGCCAAGTCTGATGGCATTAAGATGGTAGCGTTAGAAGTTAGTTTAATTAGCATGAAATCCTGCCTTGCGTCACACAGTTAACCACGATTACACACGGTTTTGGGCATCCTAGTACCAACTTGTTAAAATTCCACAACCCACCTGAGTGTTGGGTTGACCTCATGGCTGCTTTCGATCAAAACGTGCGCCATTCACAAAGTTCAGATCATCTAAAACTAGTTTCTTAAAGATGACATTGAGTTAACCGTACTCAAATGGCCTCCACAGTTATCAGTCAAATAGAGCACCTTATGAATGCGGGGTAACGAGAGATTTGCATCGATGTGCAATGACAAATCTGCAGCAACTGTGTGATGGGATGTTGGAATGTTTCCAGCAGAAATGATTAATTAAGGTAGTTCTGAAGGCTAAAGTTGGCCCAATGCGTTAGTAACAAGATATACCTAATAAAGTGTCCAGTGAGTTTAGTTAGGGAGCTACTGTGTCTGAGGAAGGGCATGCCTGTCTAAACTATCAGTAAATCACTGGTCCCTGAATGGTTGTAGGGAGTTTCCGCTTGTTTTAGTTGTCCTTTCAGGATCAAACTTCTATCATTTTTTGTTCAGTCTCAAAAAACAGAATTTTTGGTGTGCAGGCGGCTGTTTTCTCTCGAAAAGCTCTGCTTTCTTAGCACCAAACAGCAGAAAGACGCTATCAGCAGCTACCTCAAACACAGTGGAGCTTTATGGAGCTTAAGAGCTTCGTATTTCCCAGAAGAGTCAGTAGAGACCAAAAACAGCAAAAAGAGAGAGAATATTTGAGTTATGTCTGACATTACTGAATGATAATATTGCTCTTTGGAGGCTACTTTTCTTAAACGGTGAGGGCAAAATGTACTTCTCAAAGGCCTGTTTTACACTCTGCCAAACTTTTCCCAATATAACATTTTCTGGTGTTTTTTTTTTCTTCCTTCAGAAATTATTCGTCTCATAAACTACAAGGAGCTCCCTCTGTAAAACTAATTTTCCTTGAGATTGAAATAATATTGGTGTCATGCAGTAATTTTTAAATTATATAAAACAAAGAAATACAGCTTTCTTTTTTTATTCTTATCAATTGTTCAAATAAGGACAAACATGCTCTTAATTATGTATCTTTTTGCACTATTTTCTCCAACTTGAAACTTCGCTTTCTTACTCAAACTGCACCTGAAAAGAAGACATTCCCCAAGCTCAGTGACACTTTTTGGTTAAATCAAGATTAAATTGAATAAATCAACTAAATCCCTAAAATGGGCCTGTCTTCTGTGTCTCCTTGCAGAGAAAACCCAGAAGGGAGAAAAGAGGAAGCAGAATGGAGTGAAGGATAAAGGGAAGGAGAGAAGGAAGAATAGTCCTGAGAAGAAAAAGGAGAGATGGAAGTCAGAGAACGGCTCCATGCTTAAAGAGCTAGGTACATTGTGTGTGCGTGGGTGGGTGGCTGCGTTTCCTGCAGTGTTTGCAGTTTTTCCAAACTACACGTCATAGGCTGAACCTGTGTGTGTCTGTGTGTGTGTTTGTGCATTTGTATAAGAAGGTGCCCACAGTTTTGTAGCCTTGATGCTTGATATACAATCCCTTAGTGCAAAACACCAAGACCTTACAAAAACTGAAAATCTAAGGATTTTACAGTTACACTTTGCCCTATAAACACACTATTAGATGATTTTGTCTTGAATAAATTATTTATCCGCTAATAATCAGTTTTTATACTGCCACTTTAGCATCCTCTCCACACTCTGTGTGTGTGCTATTTTGCCTTTTTTAAAATTTTCTTTTACAATCTTCATGCCTCCATCACGCCTTTTCCGTGATAGCTGCTGATCAGCTGGCAGGTCCGATGGCAAAATCTTTAATAGAAGCTGACAGCAGGTCTAATATGATCTATCAATCTCTGGGCAGCGTTACGTCACTCACAGAGAGAGAGGGAGAGATTAAGAAGCACAGTGTGGTGTAGGGATACACGACGACTGTTTTTTAAAATCATGTCAAGTAGAGTTTTAGTTATAGAAAAACTAGAAGGACTAGTTATGGTCAGACTGGGAAATGTGGAAATCTGTATGTATAAGCTTACAGACCCTAACAAATCAGATATTTATCATTTATTTGAGAAGTAAGTTTTGGTTGTTGTTGTTTTTTACTGAAACTTCGGAATTTCAGGATGTCCCAAAGAACATTGTCTTAATTTTTTAACAATTTAAACACTTGAAACATGTAAACGTTGCCACCTCACAGTAAAAGGCTTCTGGTTTTGAATCCACCGGCCAGTACAACCTAAACAGCCCTTCCTTAGTGTGTGTAAATATGCAGGTTGGTGTATGTAGGTTGGTACATAATGAGTCCACTTAATTTTTTAGTCTCTTACAATGGGGATCTGTATATACAAATGGTGGCTTAGGAATTACTAAGCAATTAATGCAAAATTGCTACAAATGTCAGGATATTTGGTGATTCTAAGTGATTCATAGGTGTAAATGTAATCGTGCATGATTGTCGGTGTCTATGTTGGCTCTGTGACAAACTGGTGACCCTTCCAATGATGTACCACACCTGTCACCAAGGGACAGCTGGGATAGACTGCAGCTTCACCGTGAGCTTGATTTAGACAAACAGTTAAAAAAATGGATGGATGGATGGCAAAAGACAGAAAACAATTCCACAGATAGAATTAAAAAAAAGGCCAATCATCAAGACTTTAAGTGGTGCTGTAAAAAGAAGGTTTAAAACTGTTGACATCTACGGTGGGAGTCTTTAACTCTTTGCATCAGCTGTAAATTCAGGTTACGTACATTTTTCAAAGCCATTAAAGAGCAACTTGCATCACTTGGCAAAATGTAAAAAAAACTAAATAAAGTAGGAAAAAATAGACCCAGAAATGATGGTAAAACTAAAAAGAGTAAACAGCTTCAGTGTGACAGGAGGCCTTTCATCGTTGGGATAAAGATGGAAGATAACGGCTGGCTGCCGTGTCAGATGATCCATCCCTCATATGTGGCTGATTTTTGCAGCCACCTATGATGCTCAGAAGATGGATATTATATGGAAATTGAGCAAGCGGCTTATACAGATTTTTTTTTCTCCTAACATTGACAATTTATAGAGATATTTCGAGCGCACAGCGAGTCGAAGCGAGTGAGAAGATAAAAGCTCAGTGACTCACTCGAGGACAGTTGAGAGACGTTTGATGGACACGCTGGCGGCTCTGGTGATTGAATCTGGAGCTTTTAAGTTGTCAACACAAGACAAGCCACCTGCCTGACTATTGAGGTGCAAATTAACATTTCAATGCGCTGACATGCATATAAAAGTCAAAAAAGATACTCTACTCTAAAACAGTTTGTCCATCACTAAGCAGCAAGAGAAGGTTTTATTTCTTCTGAGTAGGAGAGACAGGCTTAGCTTCGAGGAGGCTATGAGTCAGTGTATAACTGTCGTGTGTGTGTGTGTGTGTGTGTGTGTGTGTGTGTATTTCTTAGGAAATAATCCAGGTTCTTGTTAGCCCCAGTAGAAATATGTTGATTGATGTGTTAAATCAGGGGTGCAGACACCAAAGCCTCTCTGTTCAGAAACATGGGAGCTTCAGATTTTAAGCTGAGTATTTACCCATCTGTTCACGTCCATCTATTATCATGGCTCGCTTTTAAAAGTTGGCACAAACGACTGCAGCATTTCTGCTGCGCTGCTAAAGTCACATTTCCTGACATTTTGAAAACATCATCAGGTTACTTTTCTCAATGCTGCGTCTTCATGGGACAGTAGCACTGTGACAGTTTGATGAGAGCTGGTGCTGTCAGAGCACGCCGTCCGAATCAAACGCAGAGTTTCCTCCTGTTTCAGGTTTTGTCTTTCAAATTATCGCTTTTATCTCGGAAACGTTTTGCTCCAGAATTCCATAACTCTCAGAAGCCATTTGAAAAAGGTGACAACCATGCATGTTGAATGGTCTTAACATGACAAAATCAAATAAGAGGAAAAGCCTCTTGGCTTAAAATATATATGTGGAATCCTTTGTGTCGATAGTGATTATTATTGAATGGACTGGGGGGGGGGGGGGGGTTTGTATGCCAACACCTTTAACCACTCCTATGAGCAAATTACTTGTTTTTCACACATGCACTGCAGCTCTGAAGTTTTCTAGAGTAGACATTACCTGATGGAGATGCATGTCAGAACATATACTTTAGACTTCAGAGGGAGACAAAGTTACAGATGATTTGGAAATGTGCAGAGGAGGGATAGTGAATATAGTAGATAAAGGATGCTGGACATGGAGATACCAGGCAGGAAGAAAAGAGGAAGACTGCAGAGAAGATTCATGGATGTGGTGAAGCAGGACTTGCAGAGGGTTGGCGTGACAGAGAAGATGCTGAGGATAGGGTGAGATGGAGGTAGATGAACTTCTCACAGTGAGTGAGTGGATTACACATCCTTCCTTCTGCAGACTCTTCTCAGGCAGAAGCCTCACTTACACCCAACTGTTTCCAGCAGTAATACAGCTGACACAAACCTTCTTCTGATGTGTGCTACATTTGAAAAGAGGGGAACATCAGACGGCGACTTGATTCTGCCAAGATCGCCTGGAGTTCATGTGTGAAAATGGCTTAGTTTTATTATTTAAACTGCACCATATTGTCATTCTTTCCACTCACCAGTGCCCGGAAAGTGGATTTGCAGTTGTTGACAAATACACTTGTAAACACAAATGTCAACTACCTTGAAGGGTGCTATAAACCATTCTGCAAATATTTATATAGTGCTTATAAATAGGAAGACTTGAGTAAAGTGTTTCCAGAGAAACGAAAAGACCTCAATTTCAGGGGAAAAAAGACACATCAATAAAGTCTTTTTTTTTTTTTAAATTGTGTAAGAAAAGAAAAAAAATTAACACGCAAAAAGTGAACACACGAGTTCTGACATCCTATATGTTTGCGTGGGTGTCTAGAAACAAAAACAAAGTCTTCTGTATCTTCAGGCCACCTCTAAAAACAAGCTGCTGTGCTCTAAATAGCTTCTATATGTAGGACATCAAGTAGGTGGTTTCGTAGCCTTATGTAACCCTTGTTTTTGTGTACCCATATCTAAAGATTTGTGAATATTGCTGCATTCCATAAAAAGCTGTAGGCTGCTCAGACAGTCACTGTACCTGATTAATATCTGAGAGCCTAAATGAAAATGAGTTCTAATTAGACGACTAATTGTGCGCTCTAATTTGTCGTCCTTTCATCTGAGTTTTTACGTGCCCGAAAGCAACTCGCGTAGGGGACGGATAGGCACGGGTCTGCGTACGACGGCCAAGACACGCGAAACGCATTAAAAAAATACATAAACGGGAGATCTCAGCACGCTGGCAGCGGCACTAAAGCAACACGTAAAACGCAGAGAGCTCGCTTCCTTCCTCTGATCTCAGAAAACGAACATGACAGAAAGTTGCTGAAAGCTATGAAAACCAGCCGACAAAGATTTCACGCTGTCATCAAAGGATGAAACCTGAAGCTGCTCTGTTGATAACAAAATGGGCTCTGGCTCTGAGGGATTAAAGCTTTTTTTTTTTGGTAGGAATTATATACAGCCAAGCTTAACCTCACTCTACCGTTATAACATTTCTGTATCATAAAATTCATATATACGTCCACAAAGATTCAGGTTCCACTGTGAGCCTCCTGTGTGACAGCTGCAGGCTTGACTTCTGAGAAGCGCATTGCAGTAAAGAGTGTTTTGTGTCTTAGTATCAGTAGATTTAACTCAGAATCTTCAGAAAACTCAAAATAGGCCATCTTTCCTAACCTTCCCTCCAAAGTCAGGTTCACATTTTAGCAACACGAGTTTCTTTCAGTAGTTTTGCCAGCGTTACTTTTGCTAATTCTAACCGATTCTTGATTCAGTAAACGGAAAAGGCGGGGCTGCTTTTGATAGCCCTCGTACGCTGAAGTCCCTCGGTATTGAACTAGTCACTTTGGTTTTAATTCAACCAAATTGCTTATGTTACAGACAAAACAGATTTTTTATTCAGTAAAATTGGAGTAATGACGAAAACTGCAACCTTAAAATTTCACATTTGCATGCTTAGTCGTGCCGTTTTTTACTACACTCTCTCAACAGCAGAGAACTAATTCATATCCAAGCAAATTCAGGCCTTTGAAAGATGAGTTGACTGATCCTAGTAGTTACCACCTGATCAGAGCGAACACTGTGTGCTATTGCTGCAGTTTAGCCTTCACTCTGGGTGACGACATACAGCTTTCTACTGTAGATTTATTTAATTATTAAAACCTTTACACACCCTAGGATTAAACCTGCTATCCGAGTGCTGCACTGCACCCTGTGCCACTGCCAAGGGAGGTCATGTGATCGGTTCAGTTTGTGTCTGTTAGCAACATTACTGGAAAAACTTAGCGATAGATATTAGACACGTGG